TGTTGTATTATCACCTTGGAAGAACCCTTGCTTACTATAGTAGAAGTGTGACTTTGTAGGATGGGCAACAATAATCATTTACACTGTAGATGTACTTTGTAGGATGGGCAACAATAATCATTTACACTGTAGATGGTTTTTCGCCATTCTAAAGGAATTAAAGGATCCAATCCCTAAAAAAAAACGCTCCTCATACCATTAAAGTAATTTGGATTATCGGAAGAAGAAATCGAGTAACTCGTAGTTTGATCCATATTTTTACACCTACTGTTGGTCCAGAAAATGGTGAAAAAGCAACTCATCAAAATACGCGTCAAACTCTTTCGTGTTAAGCGCATCCCTGAAAAAGTATTTTCCTGTTTTCATCTGAGCTAATGATATTTTGGGATAGTTTTGAGCTGCAAGATGAGATTTTCTGTAATGTTCTATACGTGGTATTTTTGGTGATAATAGAATCCTGATCTCTGTTGAATAGATCGGTAAAGTGTAAGATACAGTCTGACGTTTATTAACACACTTTACAAACCTGTTCAATTATTTTTTTGTCTCGGTTATTCACCAGAGATTGGCGGCCACTAGTTTTCACGTTTTTTTCTCTATAGGCAGACATATTCTCTTTCAACTGACACTCTAGATTGACTTAGGTTGTTTTTAAATGATGGCTGAAAAATAAACAGCGATTAATAGCAACGTTATTGTTATCTCGATTTTTTGAAAGTCGGAGAGAGTTTTTCTCTCACTGTTTGTCTTGCAGGTTAACTGTGATATGATTACATCTGTCTAGCTCGAGCAATCAGTTAACACATAACATGATTAATCTACACGATGGGCAAAAAGTAACTTTACATTTATTGATACTAGGAAATACTGAGCAATTAAGTTGAAATGTATTTTGATTTAAATGTTTAATCTTTTTTTATCATGCCTCTTGCCAGTCATTACTCGTAGTTATACTTGATATAACTGAGTTTAAAGTTAACTTTTGGTTACATGTATTCTGTTTTAGCCAATAAAAAGGAGTGTTGTAAGCTCTTTTTATGTACTAATAAAGTATCCAGTCAGTGTAAATATATACCCAATAATAATAAGACCCCAACTGTAACATAAATACACAATAAAGAATACCATATGTTGAAAATTATTATATCTTAAAAACGACTCGTTCTAGGAGGACTAAATTTCACCAGAGACACATTGAAAATTATAATTTTATCCAGAAAAGTTTGTACTGTCACATAAGTTATTCAACATTCTTTCCTAACATTCTCAGTGTTTGTACTGTCACATAAGTTATTCAACATTCTTTCCTAACATTCTCAGTGTTTGTACTGTCACATAAGTTATTCAACATGTTTTCCTTACATTCTCAGTGTTTGTACTATCACATAAGTTATTCAACATGTTTTCCTAACATTCTCAGTGTTTGTACTGTCACATAAGTTATTCAACATGCTTTCCTAACATTCTCAGTGTTTGTACTGTCACATAAGTTATTCAACATGTTTTCCTAACATTCTCAGTCAGCATATTATTCCTACTCCTAGATAAAGCTACTATAGGTATCATCATTTCCTAACAGTGTATTTGATGTAAGAGAGAGAGAGAAAGACGAGAAATAAAATCTGTGATAGTTTGAACGAAAAGCGATATAAGTACGAAGTATAATGTGATTTTGAAAGCACTGTACCATCTCCAAACTTTCCCGAATAAAATGTATGATTCTAAATGTGTCAATGGTGAAATTTTGTTTCCAATGGACAAGTAGTTGTTTTCAGTATGGGGTTCTCTCTATAATCAGTATGTATTTGCAACAATTATAAATATATATGCTCAGTATATTTAAAATTAACATTTGTATTAACAAAAGCTAAGATGAAAATACTAATCATTATTTCCTTCCAAATAAAAACCAAGAAAACACCCGTTTCGACATTCGTTGTTCAACACATAGTTTTTAAAGTACGTTTTATCTTTCAGGAGGAATTATACAAAAAAAAATCATTACGCACATGTATTTTAAAGAAATTGAGAACTATTATCTGAGAACTAATTTACTCATTATTAGTCTTATGTTAAAAGTCCTAGCCTCACAAAAACATTTTCGTAGTCATGTAGCTCGAACTTTTGTCAAAAATGAGATATATATTGTGAAGATCTTCTGATGTGAAATATTAATAAGAAAACGAAAATTTGCGTTTTTAAATGATGTTTATTATCGTTGAAGTTTTATAAAATTGCTTAAGACTTCCTCTTATCATAAGTAATAACTTAGGAAGTAAAATAATGAGTGGAAGTTTTTTAAGTGAATATTGTTTAATTAATTTTCAATGGGTTTGTTTTACAACACTTGCTCTTTCTGTACCTGCTACTTGCTCCTCCGTGAGTCCGTACTCTGTCTGTAAAAAAAGAAAAAAAAATGAAATTAATCATCCAATTGTATCTTTCGCAAAGTATCTGTTTGTGTTATTCATAAAATTTGCTCACTTTTAAGCATATGTTTTTCTATTGTTACTGAACTCAACATGTAGCAGTTCTCTCAATAGCAATGGTCTTTTGTACAAAGTTTTCGTCATTAAAATGAAAAATAAAGGTAACGATTACAACAGAAATTATGGAGTCACTTAATGATTTACCTTCAAAGAGCAAAACATGGCTCAGAGTAAGAATGTATTATTGTCCATATATGTCTTTAAATATATTACCTAATAAATAGCAAACAAATAACGGAGTTGAAATTTTCTTTTTCTTTCATGTTGAACAAATTTGATCAATTTTAACGCTAACACAGTCAATTCTTAATTTCTTTTGTTTTGATCTTTCCATTAAATTGCCTCCCAATTGCTTGAAGGCTTATACGCTAAAAATCGTGTTTCGATACCCCTGGTGGGCACAGCGGAAATAGTCTACGGTGTATAGCTTTTCGCTAAAACACAAACAAACACAAAATCCTTTAAGGTTCAAGGTATATAGCTGCACTTTTATTTTCTATGTTTCTAGTGAACTGGAGTGGATGTACTTCTAGTCAAGTGACAAGTCGGATGGGGTGTAAAACATAACTGAATACAGTGAACTGAAGTGGATCTACTTCTAGTCAAGTGACAACTCAGATGGGGCGTAAAACACAACTGAATACACATATTGAACTATACCACTGTTGTACTTTAAAAGAGCGTGGATTATTTGCCTTGTTTTCCTGTTACATTAGGTGTCCTAGCGCGCACTTTCATCGCCATTAGTGAAGTAAAAATAAACAAATGGCCGAGCTTGAGGAAACATCACGTAAAACACCAGTGTTCTTCAATTCCGATAAGTTCGTACTGAGAAAAACATAATTGTCTACTACCATAAGCTTAGAGTGGTTTTGGTGTAGTACTTATAAGTGATGTTTGATCTAGAGTTTAAGCTCTGTCACACTTAGTAACCGTGTTCTCTCATCTTGACCCACAAGGACGTCTCTATAGCATGGTTCTCTTGGTTGTTCTGCTGGTAAGCAGATAATTCTTACCAAGGACTTTGGCATCAAATTCGTAAATAAAACACCTCATAGAAACCAAAAAAAGAAAATGAATTCGGTACAAGTAAAAAGGTTATTTGTTACCTGATGTAAATTTTTTCTGAACAACCCTGAAAATTCCATGTCTCAATAAATGACAAATACGTAGTTTTGCATATTATTTCTGCAGTACAAGTACTCACTATGCTAACAAGTAAATAATGCCATTTACAAGGCAACCATATTGTTTACTGTTATAATTGTTTTATGATTTTCGAAGATGAGCATGTGAGATAGCAAATCCTACTTTTTTTTATTATTATGGTTGTGTTTATCGTTCGTTTATTATTTCCTTCTATCGTTTAGTTTATCTATGAATTTTTAGTTGCATTAAAACGCATTTGTATTTTGAGTAAAAATATGTGTATATGATGAAACTGACACCAGCTTCCTTAGCGGTGACGTACAGATACTATTAATGTAGCAGAAGAGTATGTAAATTTATGATCACATGAGGTTGTACTCTCGTGACCTACTCTGTGAATAAATAAATAAATACCTTGCCAGAAGCTTCACTAAGAGAGTTAGAGTGAGAGAGTTAGTTAGTTATGGAAGGGTATAATTATTGATGTTGATAGGTATTATTTAAATATAGTATTTTCTGTTTTGTTTTTTAAATTATGTTTTTTTCTTTCTGGTTATCTTTCCTGATTCCATTATTATTGCTTTATTAATATTTATGATAAATTCTTTATTAATAGTGGTGTCAAGTCCTGACCAGGCACTTGTTTATTAACTGTGTTTTACTAAGTGCTGAATTTATTTCTAAGTGTTGTTATTGTAAATAAATTGTAATTTTGTTGTTGAACCCCGATTGTAGTGGCGTGTTCCTTTTAGACCGTTACTTGTTTATTGTTTGTTTGTTTATAATTAAGCACAAAGCTATACAATGGGCTGTCTGTGCTATGCCCACCACGGGTATCGAAACGCAGTTTCTAGCGTTTTAAGTACGCAGACATGCCGCTGTGCCACTGTGGGATATACCATTACAAGCAGGCAGAACAATTAGATTAACTGAAAGTGTTTTGAACCTTCTACGTTATGGAAAATGTATTACCTTCTTAGCCAAAAGTCTAAAGTTTAATCTCATCTCATATTATATCATAACTTAATGCTTCAAATAAAAGAATAAATATTTAGAAGCTCCTTATAAGATTATCTCTTCATAGTACTCTTATACATTGTAATAAATATAGACGGTAATCCATTATACCAGAAGCTTAATATAAAAACTTAATTTTAAGGAAATTATGTTAAGTTTGTTTTAAACTGTATGAAATAGAGAAAAATCAAAAGCACAAGTCTAAAAATTTTAGGCTAGTGTGTTTAGGATATTGTTTAGAATTGCGCGTCGTTGTTGTTGTTTTTGTTGCTATTTGCAAAAGTACATAAGGAGTTATTTTAATTTTAAATAGTTGTTGTTTTATAATCTATAATCAGTGCATTTTAATGAGTGAAACCAGAGAAAAACCCTGAAATATAAATAAAATGAATACAGCTTTAACTGCTGAGATTTTGCTTTTTAAATTAATATTTAGATAAAAAAATATATAACGCTTTCTTAGAGATCGGATCTGCATGGTATATAAATTAATGGTTCACATATTTAGTGTATTTAATATAGTAAAACACCTCAGCTCATCATAGTCCTGACAAATGAGCGACTGTCCTAAGCCCAGTGTATAAATAATCATTATCACTAAAAGCAAGTAGCCAAGTAAGAAGTAAAAGAGAACCCGTGTTCCTGTGAATCACATAATGAATGTATCTCCAAAATAACTTTTTACTTTATCGTTATTATACAAATAGATACGTCTCTTAGAATGAAAGGCTGTTTTTACTACTTCTTAGACTGTTGTTTTACTTCTTGAGAACCTACCACATGAGAACCTAACTGGTTAATTAACAAACGTTCTCTTCGCCGAAGCGGTGAAAACCAGTATAAGATTAACACATAGATTCAAATTACAGGCTAACGAGCTCTGCTAAGTAATTAATTTACAGCTGAGATTTGTCTGTTAATGCAAGCTTTTATATTGTCTTTTGTTTAATCAACCAACACATTGTGTCCTGTTTACTATGGATAAAACATCGACTAGGGTTAAACTTACAGCACCATAAAATTACGTATACAGTGAGTGGCTAAAAGTAATTTACTGTTGGGTATTTTTTCATCAACAGCTCCACCACCTATTGATCCTTTTGTAAACAAGACTTGAAAATTGGCACGATGTGAGCGGACTCGCTAGGGAAAGCGTAGCACTCAGTTACAATTCGTAATTTTAACCCCGTTCTGAGTAATATTTACTTAAACAAAATAGTTGCTTCGGTAATTTTAATTTCTTTAGAGATATGGAATATATTTTTTTTATATTTACAGCCTAAAATTTTATCTTTACTTTTACATGTGCACATTAAAAACAAAATTTCTGAAGGTCAGAGACACCTTTTTGTTTTTGTTTTCAGTTATTTTTAACGTATTAATGTCGTACACGTTTAGGCTTAGCTCTGGTTATTGTGGTTTTTTGTCTTTAGAAACGGACTCTAGGAAGTTTTGAGCATTTTCTGTAATCATGTACAGCTCACAAGCACTGACAGTAATATAGTAAAATCTCAATTTAAACGTATTAATACTTTTTATTAGCCCCTCCCCTGGTGGCTCAGTGGTAAGTCTGAGGGCTGATAACGCTAAAAAATTGGCTTTCAGTACTCGCGAAGGGCACAGCTAGCCCAATGTATAGTTTTTTGTGCCCAATAATAAGCAAAAACTTTTTACTAAGACAATCAATATTTTCTTCAATTGTATATCAGTTTTACCCCATTACGATTCACGTATATACAAGTACCTTACTCCTAATCTTCCTATTGACTCGTTTGATTATGTTTCTTGCTCTTGGAAAAACGAATCTTCAAGAATACAACTAATACTTTATATCAATATTCTAAATCCTCAGTCTAAACTATTCTCACTTTCTAGTAAAAATAAAAGAAAGGAAAACAAACGTTACAGCACAGAAGTGAAAATTATTAAACAAATCTATGTTGTTGTTTTTTTGGGAGGTTGACATTTTAATTAGCAACACTGTTTTTTAGAATTCAATAAAAAACTGTTTCCTCTGCGAACACCAAGTGTTAAGACAATTATTATAGCAATGCTGGGTTGCAATATTAAAACTCTGACGTTCTGACAACTTTGTTTTGATTTAAACATTAAATTAATCAATTCAAGAGTATACTTGTAAAAAAAAAATCACAAATAACGCTAATAACTACAAATTAGAATTCTTCTAACAGCGTGAGTTTCGCTTGAAGTCTATATTTTATATGTGAATTTAACATAATGACCATTAAGTAATGAAGAGCACAAAATCATTAGGGTTCTATGTATCTTTGTATTACTTTAACCCCTGACTGACTCGGAGATATCCACCCCTGACTGACTCGGAGATATCCTTTTCCTCGATGTTAAGTTATTCTTTATTGATAACAAGGGCTATCCAGTACATTGTTTAACACGTTGTGTAATTCTCTACTTTTATTCAGAATGTTTTCTTTCACCTTTATACTTTTTGCTTTATTCTTGATCTCTCGGTTCCCATTACGATTAAAAAAAAACACACAGTAATTGGAAGTCAAGGAGACAGTTTGATTGCGATTAACAAATAAAACACAATATTAAAAGGTAAATGAGACGAGGGACGGGTTTTATTGTGTAATAAAACACAGTACTAAGGGCTAAAAGAGGCAACTCTGATTATGGATGTATTAAAAACACTCCAGTTAAATACAAGGATCTAGCTGTGCTTCTGAAGAATGTTGGCAGCAACCTTGAAAACACGCAGA